TAAACTTTACACGTTATATAGGCTACACTAACGTGACCTTTAGGCGGTTTGTTTAACTATTATACGTGATGTACGTTTTTTGGGGGGTCGTTAATGAAAGTGTTCCAAAACGCAAAATTTATTACTTGACGACCTAATATTTAGAACACATTATCGTTCGGCATGGCCTGGTGGCAAGGGCACTCGACTCGCAAACTGCGGGTCGTTGGTTCGAATCCCGTCACTGAATATGCTCGCCCTTTCAGCCGTGGGGGTATTTTAATGTGACGGTCAAATCAACGATTCGTTGCTAAAAGTGTAGGCCAAGGTGGGTAGTGTTGACTAACTGCCTTCCCTCAAGTTTATCGCTTCAAAACCAATGGCGGCTAAGGCAGTTAGCCCTCGAAGATCTTCACAACAAATTCAACAAACTATAACAAGTGTTTTAGAAATTATTGCAATAAAAACTGTTCTAATAAAAATAAATGTTATCATTTTTATTTGTAAATGTATTTTTAGAAATTTGTAAAAAGTCACAGTCATCCTCTGTGAGCAGATAAATATACGCTGACTTTTTTGCACGTAAGAGTTGAATCAATCATTTCATCGAGAGAGAACAACTGCAGTGTCACTACGTCCAATTTTCCGTTACGTTGTTGTTTGTTGTTAAGCACAAAGCTACACAAAGGGCTATCTGTGCTCTGCCCACTACGGGTATCGAAACTCGGTTTCCAGCGTTGTAAGTCCACAGACACTGTAGGGCTCCGTCACGTTACAAAGCTGTTCGTATTGGAGCTGTCCACTCTTATCAAGACCGAGATCTCCACTGCTCGAGCTAACCAATGTATGTCGAACAAGTTCTCTCTCCCCTCCCCTGTTTCAAAAGGCTTCATTCTTAAAACATGTTTATTGTTGTTACCACTGCACGCGGGAGACACAAGTGATTCTCATAATTTTCTCTCCGACATAGATCTGATACGACAGGGGGCGCCACAATGGGGAAATTACTGTTATATATACATTTTTTGTTGTTTTTCCACTATTGTGACCTACGAACCGTACTTCATTTGGATCGAAATGATTGATTGGTGAAACATTTGAATAAAACAAAACTAGCTTCGCTGTCTCTGAATGGACAAAACATATGGAAAGCAGGTCATTTTGTTTTGGTTCTTTATCAATACAATACGTGTATTCCTAATGCTTCAATACCGTATCTCTGAAACGCACGTGACCATGAAAAATCTTAATTCGGTTGTGATAAATATATTTTGACCAAAATATCGACTAAGTTTGTTCTGCGCATGAACAGTGGGGCGCAATAAAACTTGTGATGTTGGAAGTAGTCTGGATACAAAGTAGGGTCTTTATATGAAATCGAACGAAAAAATATCTATCGCTAATTCACACACAAAATAAATTAACGCAATACAAAAAAGCAAAAAAAGAAATGTATGCAAAAGAGGTATCGTGCATATTTAAAAAGTTACAAAGAATATAAAAACGGGTTAGTGAAGTGTTCCTTTTTTCATTCCTAAACTATATATATTCTTTTTAAACGAGACCAGCGTCTCGGCCGACAGGTTTCAAACCCAATTAAACTGTTCAAAGTATGATAACTAGAATATTATAGATAAAGTACATCTTGACTTGACTTTAGATTAAAAATAACTTATTATATTTACTGTGCTACGTGACATTATCGAGTTTCAACAATGAATCAGTATCAAGTTCCCATCGAACCCTTTTGAACCATAATTGTACTCTTAATAGTCGCGTAAAATTAAATTTAGTGCTGCAAAAAAGGCCGAACGTAGCGTTATCATTTTATTGTCATAGCCCCTTTCGCTTGTTAATGCGTTTCTTGAACCTTACTACGAACTAAGTACTGGCCTGCTACTGACTCACGGCTTACTTAGGCCTACACGTGCTTGTTGGACCATGACCTGGCCTGCTACTGACTCACGGCTTACTTAGGCCTACACGTGCTTGTTGGACCATGACCTGGCCTGCTACTGACTCACGACTTACTTAGGCCTACACGTGCTTGTTGGACCATGACCTGGCCTGCTACTGACACACGGCTTACTTAGGCCTACACGTGCTTGTTGAACCATGACCTGGCCTGCTACTGACTCACGACTTACTTAGGCCTACACGTTCTTGTTGAACCATGACCTGGCCTGCTACTGACTCACGGCTTACTTAGGCCTACACGTGCTTGTTGAACCATGACCTGGCCTGCTACTGACTCACGACTTACTTAGGCCTACACGTGCTTGTTGAACCATGACCTGGCCTGCTACTGACTCACGACTTACTTAGGTCTACACAGTTCCTTCAAGTAAATAAACATAGTCAGAACTACATAATTGAAGTACTGTATGCGTTCGTTTACAACAACACCACAGGTAACAATACTAGAGGTCTCCTGGGCAGAGTTACGACACATGACAATCTTATTACAAATGTTAACAGTACATACAAATAAACTCACATAATCAATCTCACCATTACCAACTATACATGTAACTAAATCCACACAAACAATAGCACATAATATTACTACTGTTAACAATATGTAATTACATTCACACACGTGATTACAATTACAGTAAATACTGCTCAAGTTCTTAGCCTTTGGTACGTGTAGTTTAAAAGTAATATTACACGTTTCCATGAAGTGACACAACGTTCTATTCAGAGGTTTATCGAAATATTTAAGATCTTTTTAAATATTAGTAAGAAATATGGGGTTTTAAAAGCACTTTAACAAAACTTACGTTTGCACAAATGTTAAAAATAAATGTGAATCTGTTAAACTACGAAACAGCTCCTTCACTAAATCAAAAATCTAATGTATATTTTTTATAGCTGTCTGATGTTTAGAGAAATACAGAGGTGTTCAAGAAATCTCAGTACGATCCCAGAACCTTTCTGGAAGTTGTAGATGTTTAGTTTAAGCATGTTAGTTGGCACGGGTTTTCTTAGAATACAGCCAATAATACGGTACACAGGTGTTATACTAGTACGGGTTTTTTTAGAATACAGCCAATAATACGGTACACAGGTGTTATACTAGTACGGGTTTTTTTAGAATACAGCCAATAATACGGTAAACAGGTGTTAATATTAGCACAGTTTCTATTTGAATATCGCCAATAATACAGTACACAGGTGTTAATATTAGCACAGGTTCTATTTGAATATCGCCAATAATACAGTACACAGGTGTTAATATTAGCACAGGTTATCTTAGAATATAGCCAATAATACGGTACACAGGTGTTAATGTCAGCACAGATTCTTTTTGAATAGAACCAATAAACAAGTGTTAACATTGTAAATCTGATCTACGAATAGAACCACTGAAATGGTAAATAGATGTTACAATTGATTCACAAAATGACTAATTAATCAGATTTTTTTTATATAAAAGCCTTTATAATAAGCCATCCGTCTCGAGAAACCTAGAAGTCAAGTAAGAACCGTGTATTCATCAGCCATTCGTCTCATGAAACCGTAACGTCAAAGTAAGAACCGTGTATTCACCAGCCATTCGTCTAGTGAAACCTTAACGTCAAATAAGCTGTGAAATAACTTTTTCTTAAAGTTAACTACAGATATATATATATATATATTTATATAGGTTACAATTTCTAAAATTGATGTATTAAAATTAGTTCATCAACACCTTGTTAATGATAAAAACAAGCACCGTTTTTAGTACGGCTAAACTACTGGTTTAATTATATACGGTCATTATTAGTCCAACATATGCGGGCGGAGTGAAAATTAAAAACACGTGCCCCCACTTTAACCCTAACCCCAGCCACAGGAACCTGCACCATCAGAAAAACGGGATGCAAAGAATATACACCTTCTTCTCAATGTTTCTGTCAGGTGTGCACAAACCCCTTCTATTTGTATCCTTCCTCAATATATTTCTAACAGGTGTTCACAAACCCCTCCTATTTGTCTCCTTCCTCAATATATTTCTAACAGGTGTTCACAAACCCCTCCTATTTGTCTCCTTCCTCAATATATTTCTAACAGGTGTTCACAAACCCCTCCTATTTGTCTCCTTCCTCAATATATTTCTAACACGTGTACACAAACCCCTCCTATTTGTATCCTTCCTTAATAGGTTTCTGTCAGGTGTGCCCAGACCCTTTCTATTTGTCTCCTTCCTCAATAATTTCGGGCATGTGTTCCCAAACCCCCTCCAAGTTGTCTCCGTGCTGGGAACACGTTCCTATCACCCCCTGTGAATCGTCAGAATAGGTATTGCCCACGTCACTGAAGGGTAAGACACTACACATAACTTAGTAGTACAACCTGAATGAGTACGTAATCTATCCCACAGTTCGGAAAAGAAGAAGTAATACGACAGCCATACCAACCAAAGGTGTAGAACGCGGGAGTGACTGCGTGGCGCTCAAGCGAACCTACAGATAACGATTGCACATCACGTGGTGTCTAGCTTAACAGCCGATCTGCCGAGATTCGCTGAACCAATTACAAAACAGTGAAAGTTCGAGATGATTCGGTGGGTACCACACAAACGCGAACTGGTGCAACGCAATCATAGATGTCAAATGATTGTCATCCTATTCATTGTGGATTTAATGGTCACTGTTACGGCCAGCAAATTACCTCTTACTTTTCGTCATGGACATAAGCCTCCATTCCCAATTTTGTATCAAACGGGGGTGAGTATTTATTTTAGTTTGTGAGCATAAACAGTGAATTATTTTAACTTGTAAGTGTAAACAGTAAATTATTCCGGTATATTTTCTGTGCTTTCACTCATAAAATCTAGATCAAGCAGCCTTGCTGTCAGCAGCTAAATTGCATCCGAATTTCCTTGCGTCTTAATATAACTTATTTTTGAATGGGGAAATCTAACTCCGGATTTTAACGCTATAAGTCCGTAAACTTACAGCAGACCCTACCGGGAGTCAATGGGAATAGAACCGTTGTGGAAAGAGAGCTTTTAGTAACGTATCAAAACATCATTTAAATAAAACCAGAATAAGACCTCCTTTCCCACATACAAGGTGGACGTGTGTGAACAACTTGATATCTTAGTATGAAAACTTGCTTGGGATTACAATATATAATACAAAAACTAATAGTAAAACGCTAGATGTATTCATCCCCTAAAACATATTGGACCATTAATATAAATTTGATAAAGAAACTTAAACCAACGACGATTTTTTGTAACGAATTGATATGTGTTGAATTTCGGGCAAAAACCACTCGAAGGCTATCTGCGCTAGTCGTCTCTAATTTTGAAGTGATAGATTAGACGGAGAGCAGCTAGTAAACACCGTCTACGGCTAACTTGCGAGCTAATCTAATCACACAGTAGGATTTGACTGTCGCTCTTATAACGTACCCATGGGCTTAAGGTGCGTGACGCGATTTTTCTTTTTCCGGTGGTAACGAGTCCGGGCCACGGAACTTTGTATACACAGTCCGGCATGTTAACCACAGGCCTGTGATGTTCATTCCTAGGTTTATCTTGAAAACAGAGGTATTCATATTGTATAATTACACCATCAAGTTTATGATACGGACACATTCAGGTCAGACCACTTTTTGAGAGTTTGTTTGTTGGTTTGTCTTAAGCTGTAGAATGAGCTATTCGTGCCGCACTTACAGCAGGGATCGAACCCAGATATTAGCGTTTTAGTTGAGCCGCTTAAAAGATACGACGTTTAAATACATCGTACCTGCAGCAACATTAAAAGTCAGTGGTTAGTGTGCCATCTCATTCTCTTTAAGAGTTTCTGTATTCTGTAACCGCTTGTTGCAAGTTAGTCCCTAATTCAGACAACCCAGCTGTGACTAAACGCTCGTGAGGGAAACTTCGATATATATATAAATTTATATATTATTTAGATTTTTAACTGGATATTTAATACTTAAGATGAATTACTTAGTTTCTTAGAGACTACAATAAATATCAACCAATACAGTATACAAAACTTGCGTCCAGAATTTCCTCGTGAGCACGTGGAATTATCGTGTTCGTATCTTAATGCAACACATTTTAAAAGAACAACTGACAACATACATAGCGATTCGAATTTAAGTAATCTGAGTGAGTCTAGTCAGGCGGGCAAACATAGTTCACGAGGGCCACTTTCAAATCACTGATTGGTTGTATGTGACCCCCCCCCTGAATAATTAGTTTACGAGGGTCACTCCTGACATCAGTGATTGGTTACAAATGGTTACCGAACAGTTTGTCCCCCATTGTCACTCCTGATATCACTGACTGATTGTCTATGGTTCCCTGGACAATTCGTTCACGAGGGTCACTCGTGAGATCAGTGATTGCTTTATTTTCTGTGTTAGACCAGAATGGCTACTTTCGAGATAACTGATGAAATGTTTGTGATTATCTGGACAGTTAATCTACAAGGATAACTAACGAGAATCACTCCAATAACTAGTTTCCTTTTTCTCCAGTTCCCTAGATGATTAACTAAGGAATGCCACTCCTAAGACAAATAATTGTTACTTTTGCTCTAAATGAAAATTCGGAACATACTATCGAGTCAAAACATTATTTCAAAAAATCTCAAAACTTTATAGCGCAGTATAATAATTTAAAGCAATTTTATTCATAATATTAGAAACCCACTTACACTTATTGCTGTTATACACACACGTGCGTAAGTGGTATGCCCCTATTTATATACATACCAAGGATACAGGGGAGGGATTCAGAAGGTCAGTGCCCCATTCTTTCGTGAGCAAGAATAATAATAAGGTACAGAGATTTTTGTTATTAAGTTCTAAGTTACGCAATAATTATTGATCATTATATATATCATTAATGGATATTGAAATGGTATGGATGTCCCAATTCTGATGCACTTATTTCATGCATACTGGCACCAGCTCAATTCCTTTAGCACTATGGTGAGCACACACAAAAAATGCAGACAGTCGTTCGAATTACTACAAAACAACTCACTGTATACATACATAACTAACGCTTACGTGCGAAAACGGAGCTGTTGAAACACCTCAATCAGGGGTTTATATTATCCTATGTCACGTTTATCTGATTATACTGAATTGTAGAAACTTGGTCAGCTTCATGTGTTACGGTCTCATTCATAGACTTAAGAAACAACCGGTTTGAATTTGTTAACCATTAAATACTACATTACGCTGCAAAAGTAAAAAACATAACGCACAACTGGATACAGAGGCCAAGCCTATTTGGCCTTGATTACTACAGACGAATGCACAAAGATATACGTACTCATACAGTCTTATAATTGTACACAACAAATATAATACAAACAAGTACACTATTTGCTTTCCCTAACGTTAATCTACGACCAAACCTGAATGGCCTCTTTAGAATTTAAATATATTTTCTGAGCTAAATCATCTTTCAATAAAATCAAGTTAGGATAGTGCAGGTACCACTTCAGTACACGTCAAGTTAGGATAGTGCAGGTACCACTTCAGTACACGTCAAGTTAGGATAGTGCAGGTACCACTTCAGTACACGTCAAGTTAGGATAGTGAAGGTACCACTTCAGTACACGTCAAGTTACGATAGTGCAGGTACCACTTCAGAAAAACATTATCTTATGTGTTTTGAGAATGAGAAATGATATTGCTAAACGCGTCAAAAGAATTCATTAAATATTTTTTTCTTCTTATATTACAAGCGAAATATATTTAAATACATATTTCTTTTGGTGATTTAATGACTTTTCTGATTTGGTTGATAAACATTCACGATAACAATAATAATATCCCACTCAATTGGCCAATTCTGAAATTCAGAATACAATTATTATTAGTAAGTTCTTATGGTGTTAGATTACTGGATCAGATATATTAGCTCACTTAATATGCAAGAAAACAGTCCCTTTGATACACTCAGTTCTTATTTCATCTAACACGTTACTGTTCACTAAATAAACGAGGAATTTACAAATGCTTGAAAAATATGTTGACTTTATTCCGTAAGGTGGCGCTATCGCTACTCTATGATTAAATAGTGGACAAAAAAATACGGCCAAGAAAAGTAAAAATCGGATATTAATACAAGCGCTACAATCTGAAATCCCAAGAAGCCTTAGTATCAGATCAAATCACTCAACACGGAAAAATATTTCAACTTATATCGGAAATAAAAATTACTAAGCAGACTTTGCTTTTAGCTTCCGGAATAAAAAACAATATAACCTGTTTCTCTCGTAGAGAAGAACACCTGTATTTCGACAAGGATTCAGTTTCTTATTTACGAGCTCAAACAACGTTCTCATACACAGCAGGATCTCGAAACGCAAGTTTCAAATCACCTCTCAACGACGGAATTTCCGGTTACGTGACACTGAATCGGTTTACTACGAACGAGTTGCATAATCTCCGTATAACTTGGCGTCTATAGAGAAAAGAAAGAACTGTATCATCATCTCTGAACAGCTTGGCTTCTACAAAAAGATGGTAAATAAAGGAGTTGTATCATCATCATTTAGTTTGGTTACTGTAGAGAGAGGACAATAAAGGAGTTGTATCATCATCTCTGAACAGCTTGGCTTCTACAAAAAGATGGTAAATAAAGGAGTTGTATCATCATCATTTAGTTTGGTTACTGTAGAGAGAGGACAACAAAGGAGTTGTATCATCATCATTTAGTTTGGTTACTGTAGAGAGAGGACAACAAAGGAGTTGTATCATCATCATTTAGTTTGGTTACTGTAGAGAGAGGACAATAAAGGAGTTGTATCATCATCATTTAGTTTGGTTACTGTAGAGAGAGGGCAACAAAGGAGTTGTATCATCATCATTTAGTTTGGTTACTGTAGAGAGAGGACAATAAAGGAGTTGTATCATCATCATTTAGTTTGACTAGTGTAGAGAGAGGACAATAAAGGAGTTGTATCATCATCATTTAGTTTGACTAGTGTAGAGAGAAGATGATGGAGTTGTATCATCATCATTCAGCGAACACCACTGTGCAAGCTTCAAATCGTCCTACAATAATTAGTTGCACCACCAGAAACATTCTTGTCCACTCGGTGATCTTTCAGGAAACTGGCCAGTGGTCGTCATACAACATATGCTTATCATTTCAAAATACTCTATGTAACAACTGTTACCAACCAGTAGTATTTCGCATTAGGTTCTTTTATTAGTTTTTTGTCGTGAAGAAAGAATATAAAACATAGACACAAATAAAAAACAGACCTATACTTGGATGGCGACTGTAAAGTATTATCTTCAGGTCGTAAAAGATACAAACGTTATATTCATTGAAATTACGATATTCATTTTTAAAATTGGCAAAGAAGAGAATAGCAAGCCCGTTTTAATGTTAATAAGAATACCTAACCGTTAGTAATGTTGCCTAGGTAATAATATATGTTAGAACCAATATAACCCACGGAAGAGATGCAGTAGAGACCTGCCCAACCTGCAAACAATCAGACTAAGTATGATTTGCCCGGATTACTAAAGTATCCAAATGGGTGTGTAATGTGGACTAGAATGCAATGTGTTCTGATCTGCAAGGCCAAAGAAGGAAACGCCTTTAACGGCCTCGCCAACAGCTGCGACACGAAGTTTAGGGCAGGGACTGCGAGTTTCCGTTGCCAAATGTCTCTTGTTTGTTACTCGTCGGGAAAATCCAAGAGATCGGACAACAGGTGAGGTGGAATCCTCCCAG